TCACCTGACAGTGTTTCTTGACTCATGCTCCATTACATTTTCTTCTTCTGGTTGAGACATTTCTTCTTCAGGTTGCCAGTCCATATCACCATCTTCATCATTACCAACAAAATCTTGGATTTCTGCCATATCAAGTTCAACATCTGGGTCAATGCTTGCTTTAACTAGAATTGTGACTTTCAGCATCACACAAGGTATCACTTTCCTACATAAAAAGTAAATAAGTAAGTATAATTGGTACAATAATACAGTATATAATACAAATACATATTCTAGAGCGACCCAATACTGAGCACATTGGACTTTGAGTCCAAAATAATTTATGGTCTCTACATATATAATCAGTAAAACACAATAATCAATTACCGGTACCTCATTTAGTAACCTTTCATGCAACTTTTGCTTTGATTTTCTCAGCCAACTGACTTTTTTTTGCAACCTTGTAACTTTCCTGGCAAGGTCGTCACAGTTTGCACATATTTTAGCTTTTCCATGGTCATCCTCAATTATAGTACCACTGCCACTGGGCTCTTCACAAAAATTAACAGAACTCTCCACTTCTACTGAGGGATGAATGTCTTCAGTCTCAGAAACAACTTCACCTTCATTCCAAGGCACTTCACACAGTATCTGTTGAATATAGTGAAATTTAAACAAAATGTTATGATATGATTTTAAAACAACAGTGCTATCATTTATAGTCTGATATACAAATACAAGAACAGTCGTACAGTACCATCCTGCGATCTCGATCACTAACGGCTTGCGTTTCTTGCAGTGTACTTTCCATGCAATCTTTTGTTGGCACAGCGTCATTTTGCAATTTTCTTCGCATATTCAGTGATTGTGCTATCCCGGTGTTCACTGTAAATGCAGCTTCGTCAAAGTGCATTGAACACAGTATGGAAAATTGTTGTGGGACAAACTTTGCTCGATGTCTTCGCACAAAAGTTGTCCATTTATTAAGTCTTTCTTTATCTTTTGGGAAACGATGCATCGATACCCCCTCTGTGGGTTGACTGTTTGTACAGCTCTTCCCGTTTTGCCATCCAGCAATGCAGTATTGTCCTCCACGAGGTTTGTTCGGTTTATTTGAAGAATAAGTTAATGTGCTCGCCATATTGTTTATAGTGAGATTCAAGTGAGTGTCCTTTCTATGACGTCACACGTAAAAATTCGAATATTCGCATCAGAAGTGGTAAAAATGCAGACTTTAAGTTCGACTTTAAATAGGTTCCCGTTCACAAAATTTTATGTCCAATAGTTTAAAATGATCAGCAAATCGTGGGCAAATAGATTACATCAAAAACTAAAAATCGAAAATTTCGTTTCATAACCACTTTAATACATGTAACAATGAAAAAGTATTATGAACTAACCTTTTTTGAGTCAAAATGAATGTTTTTTGACAAATAATTTTTCGTAGCATATGTAAACTTGTTGTCAACTGGATAAGAGGGTACTATAGTTTGAAGTTGCTGTGTACTGGCTATACACAGTCATTACCCTTCTAATGGAGTGGACACAGGTTATATGCCCACATGATTATAATATAAAAATCTCAATTTTGATTTTGTAATCAAATATCTGAAATGGTTGTTACTCTGTTGATTTCACAAAGACATTTTGTTACAAATTCAGAAATTTCAAATATAACAGAACCCCTAAATCCTCTTTTTCACTACCTGTGTAAGACCATGTGTACAAAGAAAATTTTAACTTTGCTTAAAAACTCATTAATAATTCAGGAGCAAAACACAAACAAAAATCATAAGCATGTCGTGGTTTTATATGTGATAAAAAATCATGGTTAATTTACATAAACTTTAGCTTTGATTTTGTCGGTTTAGACAAAGTTTATTTTACTTCGCCAATGCACTCGTATAAGATGGGTCGTTATTTAAGCCATTTAAAGCACTTGTAGTCGTGTTTTATCACATATAAAACACTCCGCTACGCATCGTGTTTTATATGTGATAAAACACTCCTACGCGTGCTTTAAATAGTACTTAGTTTGTCACACTTATTGTTACAACGCCACATTTCTAGGTATGTAATCAGGTGTTTCTATGTACACAAGAATGCATAGTAATATATGTTGCTATATAAATAGCTATATATGGATCATTTTTTTAACTTGAAACTTTAATTAATTTTGCCATACAATAATACAATTACAAATAAAGTACAAATGAAAATAAGAGATGGCGAGGAGACCTCATGAAAACCACTGGGCTTATCTAGTGAGGTCAAATCAAACAACAAATAGTTATATACATTACGAAATAAACACAGTATTTTATTCAAAGAGCAGACGTCTATGTGTTCGACGTATAAGTTATCTTAGCAAAAATTCTATCATATGTTTTTTAAAAGTGGAAAGACTAGACAAATATTTTATATGTGATGGTAAAGCATTCCAAATTTTAGGACCTTGAAAGAGTGTAGTAAATTGTTTTAGACTAGTTCGACAAGCTTGAGGACAATAATTCTCAGCTATTCTTGTTTTGTAATTGTGGACCTGGTTGTTAGTGATAAATAGGTTCAGACGTATTGGTGGCAGCATTAAATTTTTATAACAGAACATAAAACCTAGCAACATAAAGTGAATTAAAATATCTAGTATAACCTAGCACGGAATTCTGCATTAGTAATAATACACACAGCACACTTTTGTAAGTAAAATATTCTATTTAGGTTTGTCACATATAACAACATAAAACGCTCTCTGAGTTTCCAGCGATATACATACCCTTTTCTAGATATATACCTAATAATAATAAACGAACGAACGAATGTATTCCTTCCACTCGTGAGCTCATTTACCATTGTCACATATAGTAAATGTCCAGGCCTTGTGACCCTGGATGGGCACTTAAAAGGAAAGAATACACACACACAAACTGCGCATGAACGAACGTTCAAAGTGAATGCCTCTTGTTAGCCACCTACAAAATTATTATTAGCATAACAATATGTCTCACACGACTCATTTCCTTGTCGTCATATCATAAAAAACAATATCAGGAAATATGAATATCAATTACAAACCTTTAGTCAAATCCATGACCTTCAGGAATATTTACCTACAACTGTAGGATTTAAGTGCAAAGCACCAAAAATAACAATATGAAATTGGTCGAAGACCCGTACTCAGGAAATAAAATAACAACATAAAACGCTCTCTGAGTTTCCAGCGATATACATACCCTTTTCTAGATATATACCTAATAATAATAAACGAACGAACGAATGTATTATTTTTTTATTTTTATTTTATTTTTTATTTTTAGTGCCCATCCAGGGTCACAAGGCCTGGACATTTACTATATGTGACAATGGTAAATGAGCTCACGAGTGGAAGGAATACATTCGTTCGTTCGTTTATTATTATTAGGTATATATCTAGAAAAGGGTATGTATATCGCTGGAAACTCAGAGAGCGTTTTATGTTATTATTTTATTTCCTGAGTACGGGTCTTCGACCAATTTCATATTGTTGTTTGTTACATATGTTGATGACCTGGTTAGGTTACCATAAGTTATGTATGAATATATTAGAGTATAATAAAGAGATAATTTGGTTTTAGATGATAAATTGAAACATGACCTGTGCAATATACCAACCGACTTTGAGATCTTTTGACTGATATATGTGGTCCTTCCACGTTTAATATATGTTCATCTATATATACTCCTAAAAATATTATAGATTTCTTCTGCTCAAGTAGTTCATTACCAAAGCAGAGAGAAAAGTTAGTAGTACCTGTCTTCCTTAAAAATAGTGTAATTCGTTTTCTCAATATTAACAGAAAGTTTGTTACATTTCATCCAGACATCAATCTTTTTTTGTGTTTCCAAGAATAAGAATATTATTTATCTTTTGACTTTACTATAGTGTTTACGAGAAGAAGTTGAAACAAACCAAAAGATCTGCCTAATCTGAGATGTGGTTATTCCTACTGCCTAATATGAGATGTGGTTATTCCTACTCTGTCACAACAAATAGACCTCAGTGGCAACATAGAGGATATGCTGTTTGCACCATTAGTGGATGTTGATATGGGCACCAATTGTGACTGCGAAAAATTTCCAAATACGGGCTTGATTTTGAAAATCAACGACATATTTGATGAATCATCAAATTGTATGTTTTATACATTTACTCCAGACACAATATTTTTATAAATTGTTTCCTCGAGGTTCTGGCTGGAACCCTGACTTGGGCCATTCCATTTAATGTACACCCCCCCTATGGACTATTTCAATAAAATTTGAACCCTTAAGAAAAAAAGATCAAAGTGCCCCCCAGAAAATGAAGAAATTTTTGCCTCACCCCTCTAATACAAAGTACAAAGTTCAAAGGATGCCGATGCACACAACCCTCAGAAACAGCTTTTTCAAACTCCCTCAGAACTTCTCATCCATATGGGTGTGTGTACATATATGATATCATATCCTGTCTGATAATCTAGATATCTGGCCGGATACTTTTAATGTCGGCCAGATACTGGTTATTGTAATATATACAAGGTTCATGTAATGTACCAGGTTAAAATTTGACAAAATACCCTGCCTCGTACCCAAGCGTCTCTTTGTAAAAAAAACAGTGATGTTCATATGACGAGTTTACATGGAGTATTGTAGTGGGGAGAGATGGGTGATGGGGCTGATGGGAATAAAATTAAATAAGGTTTTACACACAAAGTATATGACGTTTTGTATTAAATTTCATGTTTTCCCACCATGACAGTATACAAGAACTGCCAGGAGCTCCCCAGCACACCCCCTTTGCACGTCGCCGGCCTACCTGAATAATTCATGTATTGTAATTATTTAAAGTGCCTGGGTACGAGGCAGCAAAATTCCAGTAAAAATTATATTCATGTACAGTCACCTTTTAATGCAGGGAGACATATTTTCCACTAATCTTTAATACTCTTTTTATTCGAGGTGGAAGTATTCATAGTGAATATGATCACAATAATCAAGATCAGCAGAGAGATGACCACACACACACAAATGATGAGGAAGTTGACGATGAACAAGATAATGGTGACCTAGATAATGGTGATCTTGCTGACAATAGTGATGTGGAAATTGATGGTGCTGGTGTTGAAGATAATGACCTAGGAGGAACTAGTGATGAGGAAGATGACGATGAATTGGTCACCCACACTTTGCCATTTAAATGTATTGGGGCTGCTCATGAAGAACTTGAAAGGGCACATCATGTCCTACATATACAGAACAGAGATGTTCAAAGTCAAGTTAAGACCAGAACCTAATAATGAAAGAGACTCGAAAGCAATAGGGATTGACATGGATTATGGTTAGGTTGGGTACATGTTGGTTACATTGCATTAAAATTAACAATGTATATACATCCATTGCTTTTGACAGGAGATATTATAAATATGTCAGTTGAACATATCAGATTTCAAGTATATTTTCTGAAAATTGGATTTTACCCAAAAATTTTAATCACAAGAAATGGAGCATGGGACCATTTGTTATTCACAGCAGCAGGAGTGTATGGTAATCACCCAATTATATTTAAACTTTTCTTCTTAATTAAATAGTTGACATGTTTATTTGTGTGCATTATTGTTCTTTTTAGGATAGTAAGTGAGTTATAATTAGTGTTTAATAACCATAATTGTTCATATAAATATATTAATATTCTCAATCACAATTTTGTGACTTTATATTGGGATCAATTTCAGCATAGCTTGAAATGTGGATCCAGATATCGATCCACGGGAGACAACAGTAGACTCTTGGAAACTGTGGTCATCACAAGCATTATCAATTGGGATACCAAATTAACAAATCTTGCTCCACAGATAAATGTACCTGATATTCTTTATATGTTATTGACCCATTAGGCTGCAATAAGCCCAAATGCACCTTACTTTTACTCTGTCTAACACCAGTGTTAGTAGGTTAAGGTAATTCTGCAGTTTTGCATTGCACACTTTTACTGCGCACATCTTATAACTTATAATTTCATCCATTATACGTACCGTTTAAAAAAAATATCATTTTATGACAATTGTATGTCACTTCAAAACATCTTTGGTTACATTTGTGCAAAGAATTACGTTAAAATCAATGTTTTCAAAAAAGGCATACAAAAGTGTAGCTAGGGTTCCTGTGTCTGTAGCATATTTTTTTACTTGTATTTCACGTTTTAATGCCACAATTCCCTAAAAAGATCGGTAATCCCCGTTTTTTAACTGATCGTTTATTTCTTTAATGTATTTTACATTTCATATCCGAAATTAAAAGAAAAATCATTTCTGGATCTTGAAAAAAAAATGCTTTATCAATGCATGCTCTCAAAGAAAGATATGTAAAGAAATGTGGAAAAGACATTTGTGGATCAGAATTTTACACGTTAGTAGTTTCATTTTGCTCAAAACACAATATTTTTTCAAAAATAATTACAAGATAGGTTACTAAAGCAAAATCCGCACTAAAAACGTCAATAAATATCGGGCTGTTGTGAGTTTGCTGTTACTCGTAATGAGTGTCAAGATGGCGCCATATTTGGATAAAGGTGGTATATTGTGATTGTCATATCTCCTTAACGAGTTCGGTGACCCTAAATTTTTTGTGTGATTTTACTTTAAGTACATCATAAACTCCATGCCTGGGAAGTTTCAACACATTCCCATTTCAGGAACAATTACTGCGGAATTACCTTAAGTGAGCATTAGTGAGTTAACTTGAGGTGGGTACCAGATTGGATCATTCGAGAAAATAACTACACTCCCAATACGGAAATTTCTGCCTTATTCTCAAATTTTCTCTCGTTGATTAAAATTTCATATTTAGACAATATAAGGTTTGTTCAAAGATTTTGTATGTTGCTCAACAACATGGAAAATTCGTAGATCTTACTGTGGTGGTTGTGGTGTTGGTGGCAAGTCTTCAGCAGGTCTAAAATATGCAGAGCGGAAAGTGAGCTGGCTTTGTTGTGGTATAACTGCACAGTTTGCCACAAACACGCCAGGATCTGCCCTTCTAGAAATTTTCACCTTGTCCAACCGTTGAATACCCTGGGTGCCAGAGGTTCTTCAACGCTCGTAGGGGGGATGAGGGATACACAAGGATTCAAGCTGGGGGAGGCGGCGAGCGGGAAGAACCTCTGGAACACTTCTATGGTTTCTCAGATTGAACCGCACCAATCACAATGTTTAATGGTGTGAAGTGATCCAGAATCTGGATCACAGTGTTAATTGGTTAACGGCAGGGACTTGTTAAAACAATGACTTTCATTGGCTGTTTGAACAGTATGTCCTTCAAGGATATTATCGTTCAGGATCCGTACAGGCATACACTGTTGTTTAATATAAAATATTATATTTATAATATAGACAAGCGCAAATATATATGCCTCTAGTTTTGCGAGTCTTGCGAGAGGATTTCAACAACTTGGTCGCGGTTGATTTGATTTTGAAATTTTTTACTGGACGGTGTTACAAAACTCGATCAATAAACATCAAGATGATGCCTTGTTTCTGTGTTTCAGTTAATGCATTGCCGTGATATGTTTGCTATATTGCCAAGAGGGAATTTTGTGTGTGTGCCTGTCTAGTAATCAAGCATGTCAAGACAAAATTGGGGGTCTTTATAGGCCTATTTATATCAAGGCAAATTACCTGGCAAGTCGGCGAATTTATACTCATCAACAAGATCCCGGCTATATTATAGAAACTTATACAGTAGTAAAACCTCGGAGACTGTTTACATGACGATGCAGCCAAGTATGAACTTGCCAGTGACAAGTTCCCAGCAGAAAGAGGCGAGATATTGCCTTCGGCAAGATGAATAGTTACCATATTAAACAAAAGATGTTCGGGTATTTGTTATAAACTCGGCCGCCCGAGATCGAATGTATGTATATAAATGTATGTGCATTGCATTTGAAATATAATATATTGCTAAAAAATACATACGAATCATTAGATAAGTTTTATTTGCTAATTGCAGAGTAACTCGCCTCCATATAAACAGGGTCTTGGACAGCAAATATTAATTTGTATTATGATGAACAAGAAATGCTTCAAAGTTCAATCTACCGAGGTGACGATCCTTTTACTGTATATACTAAAAACCCACTGTGAATAACAAATTCACCACAAACTCGGTAATACTTGTCTCTGCTTTTTTGTTAACACTTTTAACCAGGTGTACAGTATATAATATTATTCAGTATATATTATTCAGTTTATTTTACTACAAAGACTAGCTAATTTTAATTTTTTGTTTTGAAATTGACACATTTTGTCGCAATTTCCATAGCTCAAATGTTCGGTTGAACACGTCCAAATCATCATCAGTCAAAAATAAATATGTGTCCTATTGGCTAACATTTGATTGACATGTGACAATTAAAACAGTAAAAGCCATAGAAGTCTTCCAGAGGTTCTTCCTGCCTCCCCAGCTTGACTCCTTGTGTATTCCTCATTATCCCCCCCCCCCCCTACGAGCGTGGAAGAACCTCTGGCACCTAGGGTAACCGTTCGACTCCAGATGCTGAAGGTTCATTAAAGATGATGTCCACTCCTGTGCGCATGCATGCGCAAACTTTGTTTACGTTTTGAAATACTTTTTTGTAAAACATGACATACTGAATATCCAACACTTTTCTGGTTCGCTATGCTTGTAAATGAATATAAACTCTATGTTTCAATTCAAAAAAGTTCGAAAGATGCAAAATTTGGGCAATGTTTATATGTGGGGGTCCCCCTTTGTTATGAGCAGAACTGATGTGCAGAACAGAGTGGACATCATCTTTAAATGATTTTGCTGGACCAGTGGAATAGCTTCATTGCCACCTGTATAATGGTAGAAGGGTAAGTCAGGATCACATCTCTTGGTGTACTCCAACATCACTTTTGTGGGAACACATCTTGAAATTTCTTCTCATCAAAAATATTTCCCAACAGCTAATGTATGAAAGCCAATTAAAATTCCTTCAACATCATCTGTAGAACTTGCTCTTGGATGTTCAGGGTCAAGACCTTTTCTAATACCATAAGATCTCCTATGCTCTTGGCTTTCAATATTTGTTGTTAAGGCAACAATGATTTCACAAGTGAAACTTTAATGCCATTTAAAGCCTAAATATAAAGCAACAAACATTAATTTAAGTGTGTGACATTTAATGGCACCAATCTTGTGTGCAGTTGCCCTTTGAGGAGTAATGCACATACTCTTATATTAACAAAAGGGTATTTTAACCCATTAAGTTGCATTGCGCCCCAACACATTCTACTTTTTCTTTTTACTCTGTACAACCCCAGACACTCTTACTCAACAAAGGGAGACCACTGGCTCTAAACAGGTTAGAAAGAGTGTTTAACTCAATTCGATCCGCCAATATTAATTTCCGACGTATATGACGGGAAGATTAAATATTAAAGAACTTCGTGAGTATTTGCAGTAGACATACGAAAATACCACCAAAAAATTCCGCTTGATCGATACTATATATTCAGAAATATTCATATAATTTTATTGTTTCTCGCTCAATTTCAAGCGAATTTCTTACCTTGAAATGATCAATGCGGTGAAATTTATACAAATGACACATTATCAATTTTGCAGTTGCATTTTGAATGTTCCGCCTGATTCAAATGCTCGTCTTTTTGCTTCTTTTGCACGTATAATAATAACAAATATACCAAAAGAATCGCCATCTTCCATTCTATAGCTCGGAGCAGTCTCGGGAAATTGCGAAATAATCTAAGCCTATTATGGCAATTCTCGTGATCGGAAAGGTAAATTGGTAAAGCATTACAGTTTCCTGGTAAAAGACAGCAGGAATCACTTCCGGAGTGTTTGTTTACCCTAGATACGGATTTTGATTGGCTTAGGCAGAAAAACAAATCTTTTAGAGCAATTTTCCTGATTATCGCGCATGGGAACGCACGAGCGTTGAAATGTATTGTGTTGTAGTTTTGTTTGAATCGCATTCTGAAGACGTTTTTGGCTTTATTTTGCAAACTGATAGTGCTAGTAATGATGGAATGTCTTCGTATGAAGACAAGTATCTCAACCTGGCATTGGGAGTCGTGTCTGGAGTTTCAAGGCAAGTATTTGTATCATTTCTAGACAATTTCAATGTTTTGCCGTTGCCATGGCGTTGTAAATTTATTTGTATTTAGTATAGCTTCACTAGTACGACCAAGTATGTCCTCATATCGCTTTTTTGTGTTGAAATAATCGTTTCATACTGAAATTGACAAATATAAATGGTATTTATTTATATTGTTGACGAAAATTTATGGTGTTTTAGGCATAAAAATCTCTGATTCTTAGGCGAAGTAAAATGAGCCTTGAGCACATGTTTGGTTGTTTGTTACATACATAATAGCCAAGTATTCATACTTATATCTTACTAGTTGGCTCTTTTTATAATTTTATATGGCATCATGTCTATAAAAGTTTTTATTCGCACTGATGAATATATTGATCCTGTTCCTATCTGCTGTTCCTGTTTCATAGCCTCAGGGAAGTAGAGTTCTGATGAGTCATGAGAACCCCACTCACCAACCCAGAGGGAAGGTAGGGGGATGAGTAGAGGTAGAGGGAAGCCCAACCATTAGGACCTAAGGTTTCGAAAGCTCCCTGTCTAGCATCCCCACTAGGCCCCATAGTACATGACGGATATGATGATCCTGACGCTAGGAATGTTCTCCCAGATTTTGCTCCTCACTGACATGTCCGGGATCCATTTCGATCAACTGTGAGCTTGAGTTCATTCGGCTCAATGAACTGTGAGCTTGAGTTCATTCGACTCTTTTTTACTAAGGGAATGCTTCAGGAGGTAGTTTCCTGGCCATACCAATACATATGCCCACATACAAATAACTCAAAAGTTATCCCCATATACTAATAAAAAAGGGTCTTGCAGTCCACCAACCTTGAGAGGTTGATTGCCTTTTAGTATAATATGCAGGTTTGCTAAAGGTCGACAGTGAGATTGAAAATTATTGGAGTGTAAAAACCTTATATCATGGTCTGTGGGCAATAGACATAATTTCTCGGGTTAGGTACAAAGCGCTTATGGCGTTTGTGAATATGGTAGATCCTGTACTAAAGACTACAGCAATAAACTGCATCAACAACTGTACCAGCCGTCACAGAATATTGTTGTTGCAGACAAACACACTGTCAAATCAAGAAATAGGTTGGGGGTTAGGCGGTTCATGAAAGCTAGATGACCTATTATGTGGGGAATAAATCTGTGGGTTGCTGCAGACAATCCTAATGGTTATATTGCGACTTTGAAATTTATACAGGAAGAAGTCCAGATATTCATCGCAACAGATTTGGGTATGACGTGGTGATCTGATATCAGTTTGGTTACAGTCTTAGGTTTTTGTAGTACAATATAAAGGAAATATTTTCACCACATAATCCAATTATGTGCTTTGCCAAACATTACTGCTTTAGCAAACATTACTGCCTTGGAAAACATTACTTTTTTATAACTACTAATTATGATGATGCCAGTCCAACAACACTTGGTCATGCTATTTGCAAATAATTTCATGTTCTAGATTGTGAAAACAATCAATTTCTAAACAAATGAGTAGTGATTATTTCAAATTTGAATAGCATGACCAAATTTTGAGGCTGGTTATGACACTAATAACTAAAGTCAATGGTGTAATGATTATCTAAGAATGTATGTAGTAATTGTAGAAATAAAGACATTTTGCTAATCATGATTTGAGTGTTCTTTTGTGGGTATCACAGACTTATTTTGGTGCCATACTATCTTTGGAGAGTAAGAAATATTGGAAATTTGTATTGATAACATGTTGCAGCGATAAAAAAGGACCTTTGATAAAGGTATTTGTTTCATGTGAGCACAAAATGTAAATTTTACTCCACTACCTAGTTTATATAAAAATTCAATAAAAATATTTCTATTTATGCTACATGCATGAAACTTCGGGTACTTGTAGATCATAACCGTGTCTTTCAGTCATATTCATAAAATTTTTTGACATATTTGAAATTTGAACCGCTAAATACATTTATGCATAATTGCAACATTTTTTTATATCATAATTTATGCAAATTTATGCGAGTAAATCGTTAACCAAGCTCCGGATGAAATTGAAATTGGTATCGTTGGAAAGCAGAAGTCCTCCTCTTTCGAACGGTGCAATTTCTGTTTCCGTGCGATGTATAGTTTGAGAGATATAAGCGTTTGAAACAACACCACTCGAAATTACTACTTTTCCACCGGATGATGGATAGGTATGGTTCAACTTTGTATTCGGTTTTGAAAGTGGATAGAAATGTTAGTTTTGAGGAGTTCGTTATTTTATGTTTCCAGAATTCGATGTATTTTTCTTTCATTTTGTTTACAACTGTCGTAGTGTCATAGTTTAAGATAGCTAGTTCAATATTTAATTCGTTTGGGTAGTAAGGTTTCAGTAGATTAACTGTTTTTGAGTAATATGATTCTTTATGGTTGGTATAAAGATCTTTGGATATGTTTAAGCTTTGTTTCGCAATTGAGTTTTCGGGTAGCTGGTAGATATGTTTAAAATAATTAATTATGTTTTTCTTGATTGTTAAGAGGAGAGGGAATTTACCAAGTTCTCCCCTGCAAGCCACATTTGTTGCTTTTCTGTTTACACCCAAATATAACTTGCAGAATCTTAGATGAACTCTTTCGATTTCTGAGTTCTCCCATTTATTATAGTCGTTTTTTTCGTAAGCACCCCAAATTTCCGAGTTGTACAGTAATATGGGGGAAATGATCGAGTCAAAAATCTTCATTGCAAGTTTTGGTGTTAGTTTGCGAAAGTCAATGTTTTTTCGGATTTTATAAAGTGCATGAAGAGCTTTTTCACCCAGTTGTTGCTGAGCAAGTTTGAATTTTCCGTTTTGTGATATTTTGAGGCCAAGGTAATTGTATTCCTTAGTTGTATCTATTTTTTTGTCTCCAATGTGAAATTGTATCTTGGTCGGTTGGCTGGAGTTACGTTTTTGAAAAATCATAATCTTTGTCTTTTTAGTATTTATCTGCAATAACCAATTTTCACACCATTCATGGAGTTGATCAAGGCAATTTTGAAGACCCGATTTTGATCGGGAGAGTATTACTAGGTCATCTGCGTATAGTAGACTATTTAATTCGGTTCCGTTTGGTAGCATGAAAGGGTCTGATTCGATTTTTTCGAAAAGTTTCGGTATTTCATTGATGTAGATATTAAAGAGTAATGGGCTTAAAGTGCATCCTTGGCGAACACCTTTTTTGTATGGGAAAAAGGGGGTTCGGCTTTCTGAGAGTTTGATCGCACATTTAGTATTAGAGTACATGTCTGTGATAAGATCATAGAAATGTCCTCCTATTTTGTTCTGCAATAATTGATAAAACAGGCCTTGGTGCCATACAGAGTCAAAGGCCTTTTTAAAGTCAACGAAGCATGCGTAAATTTTTTTGCTTTCGTTTTGGTTTATAAATTTGTCGTGTAGAGTTTTCAGTGTGAGTGAGTGATCCGCAGTTCGATTTCCAGGAATAAAACCAATTTGGGATTGATGTATCAGTTTTTTTTCATTTACAAAATCCATTAGTCTAGTGTTTAGGATGGAGCAAAATAGTTTTCCCATGCAGCTAGAGACACATATGCCTCGGTAATTATTGGGATCTAGGGAGTTCCCTGACTTGTAGATCGGAGTTATAAGACCTTCCGTCCAAGTTTCAGAGAATCTTCCAGATTCTAAGATTTTATTAAATACCTTTAAGAAACTTAGTGGAGCTATGTTGGCGCTAAGTTTTATCATTTCATTTCTAATTTTGTCACTATAAACAGCTTTCTTTGATTTTAGTTTTCTAGTTGCGGTGAGTAATTCTTTTTCAGTAATAGTTTTATCTAGGTCATTAAATTGGTCTTTAAATCTTTCAGATTCTTTCAAGAGTTTTATAGTTTCTTCTTGTTTTTCAGTAATAGTGTGTTCCGAATGAAGTGTTTGAAAGTGGTTCAGCCATTGGCTCTGTGATGGTGTTTTCGATCTTTCATTGGGATTAATTTTATCTGTGCTATTTTTAAGAATTTTCCAGAATAGTATAGGATCGTTTGTAGCATTTTCTAGTTGTTCAATTTTATCTTGGTGGAATTTATTCTTCTTTATCTGCAGAGTATTTTTGTAGTCTTTTAGGGCAATGTGATATTCGTTTCTAATTTCGGTATTAGTTGGGTTTCTGTGTTTTTGGTTGGCTAGTTTTCTTAGATGGTGTCTTTTTAATCTACAATTTTTGTCAAACCATTTTTTGTTTGCAACATTATTGATCTGGGATCGGCGTTTCGTTTTTCTTATTTTTAGAGATTTTTTTGATGCTTCAAGTATTATGTTTTGGAATTCGTTTATACATTGGTTCATTCCATCTTTCTCGTCTGAGAAATCATTATTTAAAAAGTTATTGAGTTTGTTTTGGATTTTGTTGGATTTGAGCTCTTGAGTGAAAGCAGCCTCAGAGTCTTTATCCCATATATATTGTGATGGTAATTGTTCTAGTTTGGGTTGTTCAGTACATGTACTATCTATGTTTGTCTTGGGATTGCTGACTGGTTGTAGATCAAACCAAGCAACAACTTGACTGTGGTCAGAAAGATAGTTGGGAGGTTTGACAATGAGGTATTTGGTATTATGTAAAAGGTTTTGGTTACAGATTATATAGTCAATTGTACTTATACCATTTTTTCCATGAAATGTTGGCTGACCTAGTGAGTCACCAAGGGTTCGACCATTTAATATTCTTAGGTCGCAGGTTTTGCATATTTCTATTAGTTTTTTGCCATGATTGTTAATTGAGGTGTCAAAATTTTGTCTGTCTTTTAGATAAAATGAGTTTTCACTGGTGTCAGGAATGTATTCATTCCCTTCATTTGAAACAAAGTCTTCTTGTTTACTGGTTCTAGCATTAAAGTCACCTAGAGCTATGACATTTGCTTTCGAGGAAAAATGGATTATATCATTTTCAAATTCTTCAAATATTTCTGGGTCAAAATATTTTGACTTTTCAGGGGGTATGTATGTGCCACAGACATACAGGTCTGTATCACTACTTAATATTTCTTTGGAGATTTTGCTCCATATAAAATTTTTAGTATTTTTCACAATGGAAACAAAGTTTTTAAATTTATTTTTGAATATCAGGCTGATGCCACCTGATTGTCGGCATGCATATTTGGATTTGGGTTTTGCCAAGTTAGAGTTAATAGTCTCATATCCGGGTATGTTTATATCTTGGTTATTCCATGTTTCGGTAAGAAACATAAAATCAATTGAAATGGCTTCAACAAAATCCTTGTTTTTAGTTTTATCACCAAGGACCTTGTTGATAAGCCCATGTATATTCCATGTGCTGAAAGTGATTTCCGAAAACATTTTTCTTTGATATCTGATTATATGATTATATGGTAGAGATGAAGGAAGGCAAATGAGTCCAAATTGTTTTCCTAGTTATGTGGTAAAATTAATTTCCTAGTTATGTGGTTGATTAGTGGAAATAAATACTGATATATATTGAGAGTTATGTGTGAAGTAGAAAAAAAACAACAAAAACCACCTTACAGTTTACAGCTTGGTTAGTTGATATATCTGGTGAGTTCTTTGATGAGTTGCATCAACTGTCTTGGTATAGTCTTCTCAGTATTGGTCCAGGTGGGATGAGGGTTTTTTGGATCTGGTTGTGGTGGATGTAGTGTTGTCTGAGGAATAGGGTGGACGTTCGGGTAATGGCGGGTAGTAGATGGTGGTAGTTGGGTTTGGGAGTTTTGTATGGTTGGATGGGGAAAGTATTGGTATGGTTGAGGACGAGGGTAATATCTGAGGTCAGTATTCGAAGAAAAGGGGAATCCCTTTATTGGTGTCTTGACTGGTTTTGGTGTGGTGTTAAAGAAGGTGGCTTTAAGATTTTTTGCAAAGCACTTTACTCCTTTTGGTGTTAAGTGTTTTCTGTCTTTTAGGTCATGTGGTGTTATATTATTGTGTTCTACTAGGGCTGTGTGTGCTATATCTTTAAATTCTTTCTGAATTGTTTCATTGAGGGAGTTCACTGCTCCGTTGAGTTTATCTGCTCGTGGTAGGAGTAATGATATTATCACTCGGGATTGAGGGTATTTCTTGTGGAGTTGGTTTTCCAAGGTCTTGAGCTTTACTAGGATTTGACTGGCATCTATCTGTTCAAGGTCATTTGTGCCGCAGTGGATGATGAAGGTCTTGGCTTTAGGAAATTGACTGGAAATTGATTGGAGTTAGACGACCTTTCCTTCTCCATTTCACCTTCAAATAGCATTTGTAAAGCATGCCTGCCCGCCTGGCGTTGGTAAACAAACGGTGAAACGGAGAAGCTTCAAAGAACGGTTTAATATGTGAGCTAGAGCCTAGACAATACGATAACCAACGTGCACGAAACAGCATTAAACGCTATTGATAAATGTCGTGAACCAACTAGGATTCGAGCCGACTTGCGATAAAGCTTTTATGCCGGCTACATTTAATAGTGTGAAATCGACTTTGTCTTCGGAAATTAGATATCTTAACAAGTTTCAAGCCTTCAACAGCCTAACAGTTTGTAGGAATGACAAGAACTTTTTTGTCCGTTCGAACATGTGTTTAATGGTTGGGTATATATTGTCGGTATATGTATAGTCAGGGTATATTTTATTGCACAAAGCCCGCCATGGAACATTTTAATAAGCGCCAAATGAAAATTTACATTCACGCACGCTTCAGAAATTTGAATAAATTGAAGTTAATTTACCCAAAACGTAAAACGGATATGACGTAGGCCGGAACGTGTTTCTGCTGGGGTCTACACCGTAGGCTACGGTCTCCGGAGTCACAACTTTAATTAAGCGAGTGATGTAATTTTTGTGTTAGCTAATTTCGCCAATCCTCAAGAATGCAAAGAATGCCAATGAGTACATAGCTTTAAGGGACGGACCATTAGATATTTGAGGGGGGGGGCAAATACCAAAAAAAAACGAGCAAGAACTAGTGCTGATTTTTAAAATGGTAATGCAATTATTCTAAAACATTAAAATGGTGTTTTTACGACAATCGAAAAAATTTATGCCTTCCTCTCCCCCGTCGACGAACTTTTCGGGAAAAATTTTTTAGGTCGTCTAAAAAACAAATATCGTGCAAAGGAATGTTGCCGTAAAAAATTCTTGCAAGCAATTGGGGGATGAAAATAAAATCGTGCACAGAAAAATTGCCCAACCCCCCCCCATCAATATCTAATGGTCCGTCCCTAAGAACCCACTCTCCTCCACAGAGCCGTATAAACACTGTACGGAAAATGTAAGGCATTCAGGTAATTGGTGAACGCGCGTGGGGGAGGAAGGGAAAAATATATAATTTGTGGGTATACATGGTGTATAAAAAAAACGCAACCTCGGAATTTCCTAAGAAATCCACTTTGCAATTCTTAAGCATAAAAGCCTTTAGGCCCCTGGCCCTGGGAATTGAAATCGAATTGCTAAAAGATCTATTAGCCCAGACCTGGAAAAAGTGTTCAATGTTTCTCGGCTCCCGAATTTGCCTTTTTCAAATGTTCCTCAACTAATCAAATTCGGCTCAAAAGTGCGTAGAAACAATGAAAAATTTGACCCTGCGTTACGTGTGTCAGTCTAACAATAAAGTTTATTTAACTTGTATTTGTATATGTTCAAAGACGGGAACCGGCCGAGAGTCGAGACTGCTCACAGCTGGTAATCAAGCCTAGTGTTAACTCTGACACTCTGTATTAGTATATTTACCTTTTATTAACTCATTTAACTGGAAGAATGGAACCATTGGATTCTCTTGTTTGAGTCTCTTAGTGACCACTGATCAGTCCTTCTTATTTCTTTCGTAAAACAAATTCCTTAGAGAACACAAATTCCTCAGAGAATAATATTTCAGCTGAGGAAATTCTGCAACTGAAAAGTTGAGAAACAATATTCTTCTCGCTTCTCGAGAGTAGAATCTGGAACTCAGTATATTGCATGGTTGTGAAGTTGCTGAGGAAACAAAACAATCTTCAAATTATATTAACAGAATATGAACTGACACTTCGCAATCTCAAAATAGATTCAAATCAGTGGCAGATAACTAAATAAAATAACCTATTTATAGCTCGCTGATTCAAATATCCTCTTTGCTCATATTTTGCAAGTTTTCATGGATACTTGTTTGTTGTCTTTCCCGGGAAAGAATAACACGTACGACTTGCACATCTTTGAACCAATAACCAAATTTAGAAAAAATATCTCGAATTGAAAACATTTTAACTGAAAACCGATTCAAATCATCGAGAAGATACTGTAAAACCCGCCGAGCAAAATTGCAAAATCCTAAAGCTTTTTCAAAAAAACTGGGGTGTGTGGAAATTGTAGTAGGCTCAAATCCGAGCTTGTTCAGTGGTAATTGCCATGAGAAATGCGGACCAGTTGTCATAGAAATGACGTCAGCAAAGGCAAAATCCTCCATGTTTTTGGCTTCACTTTTTTTGGCCGAGCAGGTCCTCCAGTAATATAGTATAGCTCAGTGGTTTCTGCATGCATGTATTTCTAGTACGCTTACCCATGGCCTATCGAAGCGAAGATGGCTGTGAAACTTAATATAACTTCCTGTTTAATGTCGACATCTGCTAGATGCTATGTCACGTGACCGTAAACCTGCATGGCTTGCGATATATCTGTTGTATTCTAATGGCGAACAATGAGGAAACAGTTACGAAACGAATGCTTCTGCTCTTGAATTGGCGACAGCATTAGTTGACGAATTAAGACCATATATATTAAGGAACGTGAACCTATATTACAGGATTCGCTGGATGAAATAAATGGGAAAAAATCATTTTTGTGCCCAGAATGCATGCAGTAAAAAATATAAGACCGAAGAAAGGGGGAGAAATCGCCATGTTCTTAACAAACACACGCATGGTGAAAGAAGTTGTTGACCAAGTAATTTCAGATGGCTGGTATGGGGAACATATTGAGGCGCAATTAAAAGATCTGCCGTCTATCTGTTGCGATAACGATTAATTTACCTGCCAGGTTGGCGGCGTCATATCAAGAAAAGACGTGGTGTTGTTAATATTACGTGTGTGCAGGCATTGACTGACCAGGAAAAAGGTCCTTTAAGATAATATTGCCGGAGCTGTAATAAGCAAGTTGTATCGTATAAGAGCCATCAGAACAAGTCCAACTGTCCAATACATTGTTGGAGAAGGCCCTGCTTTCAATGCGCATTCCAACGAATATACATGCGAAACATAGATCGAGGTGGTTTGTGGAATTGTTGTGACCTTTTGTTTACACTTAATACACCTATTGAGATTGTGGAAGTCATATTTCGAGAAGAGACAACCACTTCACCGGGAGCATACCCACTTCCATCATTCTGAAGCGCTCATTAGATTCCCCAGAAGTTATTTCACACTGGGATGCTATTGTACACGACTACTCGACTGAACTAAGTGAAGAGTGCCTATCCTCATGTTTATAGAGAATATTGTGAAATTGTTTATTACTATTAGATCGTATTCTCACACTCGAAACATTATTGAAAAGTACAAGATTTTGGAGAAGGTAGAAGCTAAATTTGTTTTACACTGATCTAAATATGGTAAAAACACATTAGTCATCCATGTAAGTCCTTGGTCATTTGGATCTGTGTATAGTTTCACGTTAGGATTTCTCTTGTGTACATGCACAGTAGAAGATCTTGTATTTGCCATGTCAAATAAATCATTAACCATTTCAATGAATTTAGCCAACTCGTCTGGCTCACCACCAAGGCTACTTTCATTTTTCCAAATGATGAGAGTTTGATGTGATCAAAGGTGGTTTTCGGTAAGTATTGAAGAAGCCCTCCTGATCATGATAATATGCTTGTGTAATAAAGCTTCACAACAAGTATTTAACAATTATTCGCCGAAGGACTGAAGGAGAGGTGATTATCGGGGAATATTCACTATAAGCAATACTGCTTTTCATAAAATTAGTGTTTGTTTTTGGGATAGTTAAATTAAGTATACTACCACGCACATCGTGATCATGTACTTCGTCTCTTTTTGCAAATGGGGAAACCAAATACACAGGAGAGGCATTGTTAACCACTTTAAACAATAACAGTGCCTTATTTATATCCCACCGGTGCATGCTCTAACGTCTTCTAACCTAGATTTTCCATTATTTCAGCTGATCTGATTTCATAGCCAGAATGCGTGATTATCCTTCCAACGCGGTTTTGCAATCTCCGAAGTTTGTCTCTAAGGCCTTTATTGCAATTGTCTCACACAGAGGAACAATAGTCAAAGTGCGGTTGGACAATGGCATGGTAAACTTTCAGTAGTGCCTCAATAGGTATAGGTATATATTTTTCTTAAAACAGAA